GGGTGACTCCACGTACTGAAATATTATTTGAGTGGATAATCATCGTGATATGATCATACAAATACAATATATTACTCAACAAACATTTGATATTCCTTCAGTTTGCTAGTGGATAATTTTGCTAATGTGAATGGGAATCAACGAATTTGAAATATTGAATTGCTCACCTGGACAGAGCCAGGACACGCCAACGCGACGAATCCGGCCGGCGTCAGAATGGCTTGGTGTACCGGACCGGAGACGCCGAACTTCCAGCTGGGCCCACCGACACCCCTCCCCTCTCAGGGCCCGGCGGATCGCTTCAGATGGTTGGATATTGTACGGATCCAACCGGACCAGCTGCAGCCACTTTTCTTTGATATAATTTGCCACCTCTTGTGGGGTGGGCAACACCACCATGATGGCCAGCACCTGCAGCAATGTGCTGCAGGCGATTCGTTCGGCCTGTTGAAAAACCAGGCCAAATGTGCGGGGCTGCCATCCCCCCCTCGCTCTCTCTTCCCTCCTCTCTTGGCAGTTCTCTATGCCCACGAATCTTTTTGCGGGCCTTCTGACTGAAAAATTAATATGATCATCAAGAGAAGCTTTCATTTCGATTGAGGTGCCCACAGATAATTTTGCTCATATTCCTCATGCCAAAATCTCTCGTACAATCGTCATCAAGCATATAAAATGGAACTCTTCATACAATCAGGCACATAATCACCAACTCCAAATAACAACAGCAATAGCATTTACCCAAAATCATGTAATTGTAAGTGATTTCGTGAGTATCAGAAATTAACTAGTCGGAAAAAACATCGCTTTCGAACCATATTCATCAGTAGTAACACACCACGAGTTTTATAGCAGAGCGATTAGATAACCAATATGATATATTATAGGAGTATTGGAATTACCTTGAAAGGCCAAATCAGAAAATACAAAAATGTAGATAATGAAGTGATATGAACAATAATAGTGACTTTCAATGAGTTAATGTCAATAGGATGGTATTAGTTCAATAGTGTTGAGCTTAGACAATGGATTGGGATAAATTTTGAAAAGGTTGGCAAGATTGCTAGGAAATAACCGAACATACTTTTGGTGTGTATTTGAAGATAACCACTCACTACTTCGCAGAAAAATCACAAAAATATACAG